CTGGCTGCTGCTGCTGCTGCTGCTGCTGCTCTGAGCCGAGCTCTGGGGAACTTCTTCCTAGAGCCTCTGCCCCTTGCACGCCTTGCCAAGGGAAGCCTCTTGCCGGGGCTTGGGAGACCGCGCTGCGAGTGAGCTGAGCAGCTGCCAGATATACGACCGGCCCCGGCCCCCACAGGAGATTAAAGGCACGGCTGCTCGTGTCTGCTGCCGTGAAAGCTGCCTGCCTCTTGCTTCAGCTAGAGTTTAAGGGATGGGCTGGCTAGGGCTGACCCTTCGTCAGGCAGGGTGGGGGGTGGACTGGATGGCCTCTGGAGGTCCCTTCCAGCGCTGCTTCTCTGTGCCTCTAGAGCACTCTCACGGTTACCAAGGTGCGCTCAGAGGGCTGCCCCATCTCCCGTGGACGCTTTGCAAGCCGATGCATGGCTAAAACGGTGGTGGGGACAAGGATCCCCTTTAGGAAGGATGCTAGGGATGCCAAGGTGCATTCAGGGTGTCACCTGCGCCCCGCTGGAGCCAGGCATATTCAGAGGTTGGCAAGGTGAGGGGATCAGGGGGGCTACCCAGAAAGCCAGATTCTCCCTGTCTCCTTATGTCCCTGGGGTTCAATGGGATCCCCCCCCCCCTCAATGCCAGTGTTATCTCAGGCCACGTGAGGTCAGAACACAGCACTGTGTGCCCACCACCTATCAAAGACCCCCCCACCCACCCACGACCCCCTTTGGTGGTGGGGAGGGGGTTACTTGATCTCTTTCGAGAAGGTGACCCTCTGATTCCTGGTGTTAAACAAACGAGGTCCAAGAGGATTCAGATGATCCCGTCTGTCTCGAGTGTGGGAGCAAGACAGAGGAATCTTTCAGGCACCTTAGTCTTCTACTCAAGTAAAGGTGCCCCTAAAATACATTGATCCAAAAGCCCAGGTTCTGTATTCCAGGGGCTGCCTCCTCATGTTCCTTGATAGCGTGGCAGACGCTAGCAGGAAGTTGGATTACTAGAACTGCAGTGTGTATCTGCAGTCTAGGGTAGGAAAACTGCAACTCACTCCAGCAGTTAGGATGGCACTGGGTTCTTACTGCTGTCATCTATAATAATAATAATAATAATAACAGCAAGTCTATTGTAATGGGACTAGTAACCCCTGGTGTTATATCGGCTGAGATAGCTCAGCTATTAATTCATTATTCTCCCTAAATACAAGGAGGGCCAGGTGCTGGACTGCTGTAAACTGGCATGGGAAGCCAATGAAGCTATGCCACTGAGGAACTGGCCCATATAATGTGTACTTTGGAAGGGAGACAAAGAATACTGGGTGTAGCTGCCGGAAGGCACCAACTCAGACTGGGGTGCCTGCTAGTTAGCATGGCAAAGTGACACAACCCCCTGTCCTCACATGCTCAGCAATTGCTGACATGCTTGCCATTGTAGCTATGCTGTTATAGGCTCAGGCTTGCTTCTCGAAGTGGAGTGTTTCCTTCCCCTTCAGGTTGTTTTAATTCTGTTAGGGTGAGATTGGTCTTCTCAACCTAAAATTTCTAACTGCATTGTTGCAAGGTTACTGCAAAGTTAAAACATGAGACAAGGAAAAGATTCTGACCCTGATCTGCTGCCCACTGAAGTAACTGGGCAAACTTTCCAATGATAACTTGCCCATCATCCTCTTTGAGGGCAAGAGCCTGTGCCTGCTTTAAAATAAAAGGTCTCTCTCAAAAACAGCATATAGAGTGTAGGCAAAGACTTCATCAGTCATCTCACTGTAGACAGGCTGAGCAATACCTGTCACCACTGATTAGAACCGGGCCATCTTTGAAAATTAAGTCTATTCTGGATTAAAACCTGCTTCATAGGCATTGGGTCTCTTTGTCTGCAGGACCACATTCAACGAGGAAGGAAGCAAGATTTAATAGGCCAAACAGTGTATTCAACCCTCTTCTCTGAACTGTGCTCCAAGATGATCACTACCTGGGAACAAGTGAAACATCTCCAGCATAGTAGTTGCACGGAGCAGTTCCACAACTCTGGATGGCCATTCAAAAAAAGAGGTTGAGAAAAGAAAAAGAGCACTACCTAATGCACAATCTACAAGCCAGGCTGGAGTAATCCCAATATATTTGCCCCAGATGCACAACTACAGTTGTTGTCATGCATTAAAAAAATGGCAAATGCTGTGATATTAGACTGGCATGCAGGTCTGGCAACATTTTACAGCTACATAATTCTAGATGAGAACATGAGTACAGTTCAAAGAGGATTCAGGCCTTTGGGGGACATTCACTGCAATGTTGTAAAATAGGCCTTATTCTGACCCTCAGTTAATCCTCATTTAAGCATCATTATTTTACAAAATAAAATCTAGGCACTCTGGTCCAAAATCTCTAAGGTATTTAAGCGCCAGACTGGGAACATCTCAGTATTTTTGAGGATCTGGACCTACATCACAACCTGAGCAGCATTTCTACTTCTTGGGCAATATTGGCATTTCAAGTCTGTCAGTGTTATAACATAATAAGGGTGCAGATTTTTCAGGTTGCTTTTTTTGGTTTTAGTCACAAGTTACAGCCAGGGACCAGAGTTGATGTAGTTGTCAATGTAGTTCCATGGATCCCATAACTAGCAATTTCTTAAAATGTCCCCTTCTTGGGAAGCTTTGACTGCCCATTAAACGATGCTATCTAAAGGGACTTCAGCCTTAAAAACCACTGATCGAAAACGATATACATATATAATGCATAATGAGCCTATTTTATTACATTTATCTTCAAGGACAGACTGCCTAGCTCACAACTGTAGACTCTTCATTCGTGTATATTAATGTTACAGTAGAAATCAATCACTGTGAGTACTGAAGCACATTCATTTGGTGTTCATGCAATTAGCCTACAAGATCTTCTGATGATGGGTCATGTTGCTGCATATGGCAAAGCTGCAAGAACTAGAATTGGGACGTAGTGATTAGGACCCTGTAGTGTGTGCTAGTAAAAATGAGACATCTATTAAGCTGGGGAAAAATGAGACGTCCTCAGTTTAGCTCTGGAGGTTTGGAGATTGATTCCAGTTTGGATCAACCCTCAGGGCAAGATCTTCATCTGGTATAAATGAATCTGTGAAAATGCATACAGCATAGCAATGTATACCAGCTGAGGATCTGGTTCTTCCTACCTAAGACTTCTTTTGTACTATGTTTAACTCTGGTGTAAATAATTGATTTTAGGGGAGCAGCCCTCAGCTGCTCAAAGTTATATGTGTCCCTACATGAACTAGCCTGATCTCTTGGATATGCCAAGTTGCACAGCAAAAACTCTCCTTCAAAACAAAACAGAACAAAACCCTCCTCAAACCCTTTTTGCAATACTCTGCTTCTTGTCTGCCAAGAAATGCCCCAGGGACATAGCTGATTTCTAACAGTACTTCATCCTTTCTGCTCAGGCTGCCCAGAATGAGAAAAGGCATCGACATGAAAATGAATGGGCGTTAGATGGTAAAAGACTGAAAGCTCACATTTTCAGAAGTTTGTGGTCAGCTTTTACTTCAGTTCAGTGTAATCACCACTGAAAGAACTCGCAAATAATAAAAGCACATGCTTGTAGCCCATCACTTCTGCTTCCAATGAAGACAACGGCAGTTAATCACTAGAAATAGAGCTGGGTCCCAGAAGATGATGCTGTAGTTACCCGCGGTGATCACAACCAGGGCTGTAACTTTTAATTTACGCGAGTAAAGCCCCCAAATGAGGGCAATGAATGGATGCTCGGAACAACTTCGGGAATCATTCTTACTCCATGGGTTTATCTGAAATTAACCTGTCGGCTTGTCCTTGCTCTGCGGCTCTTATCGCCCTTCCTTTGTAATTGTCGTAGCCGACACCCGCTTTCACAAACAGTTGCTATTCCTTGAGCGATGTTAATACTGTCGGAGGAGGAAACAAACCACTAAAACAAGGCATTTTCTGTTCACGTTGGTAGGGGGTTATGCCTTCCTATACCGGTTTCGCGTGGATCGGTAATCATGTCATAGGGGCAGTTGTTTAATGCGTTAATTCAGAAGCTCGCCTGCCGCTATTTCGGTGGGGAAAGAAAATCAGGCGCGGTACTGGTGTGAAAAGCGCAGGGAGGATCGAGCTCAGGTCCGCAGATGCTCTCGGTTCAAATAGACCGCTATCGAGGTGCCTCTCCTTTAGGTGCATTTGCTAAGCTAGTTTTGAAAACGGCGATCAGAGGGGGTTTATGTTAACGGGTGCAGTTAAATTAAATATTAACAGCATATGCACACAGAAGGAGAGTCAGAAAGCATCCTGTGCACAAGAGCCCGGATAAGGTGCCAGGTTCCCCAGACACGGATGCTAGCAT